GATATATTGGACCATGCACCATTCTTGCACCCGCCGGACCCAACCATGACTGTCCGGTGAGCTTCAAATTGAAGCTCCCCGATTCCATGTACCGCGCTAACTTACATGACGTGTTCCATGTATCTCTTTTGCGCCCTTCAGACGGTCTCCTCCCGAGTTCCATGGCCGACCTTACCCTCGCCCCTCTCCCATCATCATTGAGGGTCACGAGGAGTTTGTCGTCTCTGATATCGCGTCCCCGCGTATGACCGATGGTGACCCTCCCCGCCTCGAGTATCTCGTTCGATGGAAGGGTTACCCTGATGAGCAGTCTACTTGGGAGCCTCTTGAGCACTTGAAGCATGCCATGACTTTCGTGCGTGCTTACGATCGTGCTCATCCTTTCCCTTCATCATCCTCCCTCCCTACTTCTCGTCCTTCTACTACTGACCCCTCTACTTTTGCGACCACTAACATTCCCCCTCCTCCATCGATGGGTCCTCCTGCTCCACCGGTACCTGCCTCAGGTCCTCCTTCCCCTGCGGATGTGGTTCCGCCTGTTGTTGCAGTTGAGTCCTCTCACCCTCAGTGTACCCATCGACTTCCTTCTCGATATCGTGACTGATCTTACGCCCTATACGCCCTCTATCTTTTACCGTTCTTGGACACTCATGCAACAACTCCAGGTTTCAGCTTCTACATTCGGCTTCTACATTCGGCTTCTACATTCGACTTCTACATTCGGCTTCTACATTTGACTTCTACATTCGGCTTCTACATTCGACTTTCGACCTCAGTGCTTCTCCTCAGTACCAGAGTACCTGTCGCATTGTTTCGGACTTCTACTCGGTCCTTGCGGTACTCCTACTTCATCCAGGCTACTTTGGTTCGACTTCAGTCTCGGGACTCATCAGTTGGACTACTTCACTTTTCGGCTACAGAGTTCCCATCATTCCCACCTATCCACCACCCCCGAACTTACCCTTCAGTCGCATGATGACCCCTATTTTCCCTGTCTATGTGGGTGTGTCTGCTTGCCGCCCTTCTGCCTTACCTTATGCTGCGCGCCCTCCTCTGGAGTGTACGTTTTCTTTGCTCGCGGCTTTTGGCCACATGTCTATGTCGGCATATCCCTCTCTTTCCTTCCAGGCTCACCTTATGTGTGCTCTCTTGTGTGAGTGCCCTTCCCCTTTCAGCTGGCGGTACCCGTTTGATGGTTTCCATTAAGCCTGGGGTCGTGTTGTTACTCTCCCTCTGAGCCTGATGACCCTTACCTGGTTGTGTGGGTTCCCCCTTGGAGTTTACTCTGAGAGCTGTTCCTGCAGCCTTCCCACCCATTCGTACCTCTGCCATGCGACCAAGTTCCTCTCTCTTCTGTTCAGGTATTGTGCATTATGTACAGGGCACGTGAGATTGTGCCACATTCTTTTCGACATAGGACATTGGTTTAGTTATTCTTTGGCCTTTAGGGCCCTGGGGTTGATTTATATTCAGCCTATTTGGCTCATGAGACATTTTTCCTCTTCCTTGGCCGACACAGGTCAGACATTTTTCTCTTTCTTGGCCGACACAGGTCAGACATTTTTCTCTTTCTTGGCCGACACAGGTTAGACACTTTTCTACTTTTTGGGTCGACACAGACCAGACATTGTTGTATAGATTAGGCTTGAGGCTTAGTCTGCATTGCATCCCTTTTCCTACATGGAGCCTGCTCCGCATCTAGGATTGTTTCTTTTGCCGTTCCTTTTGGGTTTCCAATATTTTAGCGGATAGTGTGCTTGATGTATCGCTTGATCCATTCATAGGTCCGAGGATCGTGTAGCGGTACCCCTACGGCCTGGCAGTGAGGCCGGACCAGTTTCAGGCCGTCGGCCTGACCTTGGTCCGGTACCAGGTTGTCCCGTACCTGGACCTAGGCCGGTATATCACTTCGGCCTAGGCCCAGGGCGGGAGGTTGGTTCATTCAGTTGTTCATTCGTTCTATGACAGAGTCGGACTGGACCTTCACCCAGTTGCTGCTTCGTGTGTGTCCATCACCTCTCTCTCTCTCTCTCTCTCTCTCTCTCTCTCTCTCTCTCTCTCTCTCTCTCTCTCTCTCTCTCTCTCTCTCCATCTCCGCACGTGCCCTCTGCACATGCGTCACAGTCGTCGTCCGTGCCCGACCATCCCCAGCAGCACCAGCCATCGCTCGGGCAAGAAAGAGGAGGCACCTCGAGCATGCAGCAGCAAGGAACAACAGACAGCAGCGCGCAGCAGGAGGTACCTGGAGCAGGCAACGGGAGCGAGGAGCAATCATCGAGCTTCTGATGAAGAAAGGGTTGCCACCAACACTCTCTCTCTCTCTCTCTCTCTCTCTCTCTCTCTCTCTCTCTCT